GCAGTGTTCTCAACATTGTGCTGTGTCATTAGCATTGGGCATTGCAAGTGGAAGGTGACATTTTCCTCTGTCCCCTAAAATTCGCATGTTCTAGTTGGCTGGAAACTTGGTTTTGGACCTTTGTGTCGGGGAGTGGGTGCTTGCCTGGGATCTGGTGGCCTCATTATGAAGCATCTAGGCCTTATTTGCTTGTCCCCAGGTGAGTGTCAATGCCCCTCTTCCTGCCCCTGGACTCAGTGAATATGGGGTTTGAAGGATAAGGGTGCCTTTGTCCAGCCCTGGCTGGGGACACTCTTGGTGGCTTTGCAGCCCCTACAGGAGGCTGGGCCAGATGGGAGACTCACCCACTCACCTCAGTGGTAGCTCCCAGTCCTTTCCTTTCACATGGCCCTCCCTGAGCAGCTACCTCCCCTCCTCCCACAGGGCCCTGCACCCCCACCCAGGCTATTCTGGGCTCTGGCTTTGCTGTAGAGGAAGCTGCAGGCACCCTCCCTAATCTGACTCAGATCACTTCCCTTAGCCCAGGCTGCAGCTAAGCATGGTCAGGGCCAGGGTGAGTTCCTTCCTCCTCATCCCCCACTGTGACATTCTTCCCTGTACCTTGAGGGGTTCCCCCAGCACAGACCTACCCTCCTTCTGTGTCATGAGCCCATCATTCCTGAGGGGCTGGCCCAGGTCTGAGCTAGACGCAGTGGCACGTGAAGACAGGCCTGGGCTAAGGCCTGACTTGGCTACTCCTGGACTGGGTGAAGCCGGCCCGGGCAGCCCCAGTGTGTCCTTCATAGTCAGTGTCCCTACTATGAAGTAGGCAATGGCAATTCTAGGCCTCAGGGTCACTGTGAGAGCCAATGAGGGACTGATGTTCCAAGTGTGGTCCAGGGATTGTAACTGGGCTCCCTCAGATGCTTCTTTGATAAATCTTTTCTAAGTATGGGGAGATACTCTGCTGCCCCAGACACTCTCTGGGCAGAGTGCCAACCTTGGAGACTTGACAGGGTTGGGGGCAGTGGGGGTTCCATGTCATTCCCCAAGCTTGTGAGCTCCTCCAGGGCAGGTGGTCCTGGGCTGCATGCCCCAGCCCCTGGCTCATAGCTCAGAGTTTATTGAATGAATGAGTCAGTGAACAAATGAATGGATGAATGAATGAATGAACAGCCCTTAGGGCTGAGGGGTCATGAAAAGAGGCTGGGGGTGGGTCCGCCAGTAACTTACTGAATGACTCTAGGTGGGTCATCAACCCTCCCATTGGAGCCTCAGTTCTCCCATCTGTGAAATGGGCACACAAACACCTGCTCCAGCTCTGCTTTGTAGACTCAGAGGGCACCCCCATGACTCCCCTCCTGCCTGCTTCCTTCACCCACTGAATTAACAGAGGCTGAGAAGCCCAGGTCTCCCCACCCCATAGAGCCACAAGGGAGTTCATGTGCTCAGCACCATCTCCTTACCTTGCTTCGGTATGGCCTCAGGAGTGGCCTCAGGTCAGGAACCTGGGCACCCACTGTGCTTCCCTGAACACCTGCAGGACATGGGCAGGTTTAGCCTCCTCTGCACGGCCTTAGGGAAGTGGGTGGATCAGAGTCTCAGTGGCCACCATAGGTGCAGCCCAGAGCAGCTGTGGGACCTGGGCAGGCTGCTGCTCTCTAAACCTCCATCTCCTCATCTGTAAGGTATGGGGGGCATTGACATGTGCCTCCTAGGGTGGTCTGGGATCCCACGACATAAAGAGGACAGACAACAGTGCAGGGTTTCTCTGGAAGTGGCCCTGGGCCAGGTGGCAGGTGAGGTAGCATCTTCAGCAGAGTTGGGAGCAGTTCCAGTTGAGCAGTGGTCATCAAGGGGCTCAGTGATATCTATCCCAGCATCTGGCTGAACATCTGAGGATGTGAGGGGTGTAGCCCCTGCTTTCAGGCTCCTGTGGTGCCTCAGAGCTGGGGTGGGCAGGACTGCACCAGGAGAGTGCGATCAACAGCCCTGGGCGCACATCAAGCCTGAGGCACCTCAGGGCTGAGGGTTGGGGCCGGGGAAGGAGCTAGGAGCCCTTTTCCCTGCCGGCAGTTCATGGGTCACACAGTGAAAAAAAGAGTTACCAAAGGTGCCAGCTCCCAGTGGCCCTGACAGGATAGCAGCAGAACAAAGGGGGAGGGGACCCTAGAGGAGAGGACCCAGGGGAGTGGCCCTGGCAGGGGTGGGTGGGTGAGGAGCTTCAAGATGACGAGAATGACGTGAGTTGCCAAGCCCATCCAGAGGTCAACAGAAGGAGGACAGTGAGGGGACCCTTGGATTGAATCACTTGCAGGCCACTGGAGCTGTGATGGGGTGGCGGTGAGACCGCTGGGCTTGGGGCAAGAAGGGAGGGGACCATGGCCTCCAGGAGCCCTTGATTACCACTTGTAAAGGGCAGGAGAGAGGGAGGTGGCAGCCAGAGGGAAGGCAGCATCCAAGATGGGTTCTAGGTTGGGAGAAGCATAGGTTACGGCCAGGGGGACAGGAAACTGATTTATGGGCAGGAGCTAAAGAGGGAGGGGTCTGTTAGGTGTGGAGAGTGACAGGGAAATGGATTGGCCTGGGGTGCCCTCTTGAGGGTCAGAGTGAGGAAGTGTCAGGGAGAGGGCCTGTTGCCCTGCTCTGGAGGGACCCAGTGACGTGGAAGTGCCAGGGGTGCCTGCCAAAGGAGGTCGGTCAGAGGTCAGGGGCCCTGCTGGGGTGCCCCATGGTGAAGGCTTAGGGGGCTCCTCATGCAGTCCCTAGAAGGGCTGTGTCGCATTCACAATTCCCCATTTCTTACATGTCCCCAACATGAAACCCTGGAAAGTTTGTCAGGTCACAGACAGGCCCTATTCCAGCCCAGGCATTTCATTACTTCCAGGCTGCCCCCTCAAAGAGCATCCTGGCAGGATCACAGTTTAGATCACATCTGTGCTCCTAACATAACCATCAGGAGGGCCCTGGCCCTTCATACTGAGACGTGGAGGCAGAGGCTGTGGTCCAGGTTCTCTCTAGGAAGAGAGAACTGCTGCCATGGGCCAGGTCGGCCCAGGCTGGGTCCCAAGTCCAGGCTGGGCACATACGGGTGCTTGGGAAACCACGGGTGATTGGTGGCCGGTGGCCTGGGACCTGGATGGGGCCAGGGTCACCAGGGGCTGGTCACTGTTCCAGTCCCAGCATCAACCTCAGTTCCTAGAGTCAGTGGGAAAGGGGGCTGGAGCAGGGTCCAATTACAGTGACCACAGGGAAATGAGGCCACAGATTTCATTGCAGGGAGAAGGTAGGTCAAAGAAGGCCATGTGCTCCCATTCTGACAGCCTGGAGCCTGCCTGTGCCTGGGGCAGCCGCTCCCTTGAAGGGCATCTGTCCATCTTGGGGACTGAGGGTCTCTGAAGTCAGGTCTACATGCCACCACACAACAGCCCCCCTCAAACACCTACTGCTTGGTGCTGGGCCCTGAGAGGACCGGAGTTTCTCTTTTTCATGGCCCCAGACCCAGAGCCCCCTGTGTTCTTCCCTTGGGAGAACAGTCCCTGACTGAAGATGTCAGGAATTTTTGAATCTTGAAAGAACAACTGGGACCAGAAATGGAGGGCACTGGGAATGTGCCTCCCAGGGACTGACTCTCCTGGAGGTGGGAGACACCGTAAGCCCTGGATCCAGAACCAGGACTGGGATGGGGTCTCTAGGAAGAGGGGACTCTCTCATGGCCCCTTCCCTGAGTGCCCTGACCTGATATTTGACCTGGAGGAAGGAGACAGGGCATGAGGAATCCTGCTAATCTGACCCAAAGCCCTTGTCCCCACTTCATCCCTTATTGGTCCAATAACTCTGTCACTTGAATCCTGGGTCCCAGGATGGGGGCCTGGGTCCAGTGGGCTCTGAGCTCCCCATGGAGGAAGCTGGATACAGTGGGTGGATATGGCCAGGTGGGGTGAAGGCAGCCAGGCACCTGGGGTCCAGAGCTGAGATCTGGAGTGGGGTGGGCCAGGGGTGGGCCAGGGGTGAGTCCCTGCTGTGGCCTGTGGCAGGTCACTCAGGCTCTCTGGGCTGTGATGTCACCATCCTAGGGCCAGGATCATAATAGGATCTCTCTCCAAGGGTGGTTTGGCCTGGAGAGTATTTAGTCTCAGGGGACCTGTGGGAAGACTGTGCCCTAGAGCTGTGGCTAAACTCCCAGTGCCTTCCTTGGACCCCAGGAGGAGAACTGAGCACAGGGGACCAGGGACAGGGAGGGCATCTGTCCATCTTGGGAACTGAGGGTCTCTGAAGTCAGGTTGGCTCTGCTGGAAAACCCTCTGCCACCTTCCTCCTGACTTCAGGGGCTAGGCTGGGATGGCCCTGCGAGTAGCTGGGCCTGGACTGGGCACAGAGAACAGGAGAGGAACTCAGGAAAGGAGCTGTGGTCAGCTGAATTAGGCCCCTAGGGAAAGTCATGTCCCAATCCTGGACCTGTCCCTGTGTCATGTTGTGTGGTCACAGGCGCTTTGCCTATGTGATGGCATTAAGGGGCCTGAGGTGGCAGATGATCCTGGGGTATTCAGGTGGGCCCAAGGTGGGGTCTTTATAAAAGAAAGAGGGAGGAAGGAGGGTCAGAGTGAGAGGAGATGTGGGGAGGGAGGGAGAGAGGGAGAGAGAAAGGTAGGGAGGGAGAGAAGAGCAGGAGAGGGATTTGAGGATGCTGAGCTCTGGCTCTGAAGCTGGAGGAAGGGGCATCCTCTAGAAGCTGGAAAAGTCCTGGAAATGATTTCTCCCCAGAGCCCCCAGAAAGAGCCCAGCCCTGCTAGCACCCTGACTTTAGCCCCCGAAGGACTCATTTTGGACTTCTGACCTTCAGACCTGGGAGAGAATCAATGGGTGATGTTTTAAGCCACTAAATTAGGGGTCATTTGTGACACTAGCCACAGGAAAGTCAAACAGGCACCGTGGGAGAGACTCCCCAGGATGCCCTGAGGGTCCCTCCCCGGACCCACCCACAGTGACCCAGGCCTGATCCCTGCAGGTACCGCCACACTTTCAACACCCTACGGAGCAGGGACCATGCAGGAGGGGCTGGGTGGGGCTCTCCCCAATACCTTTCTCTCAGAGAGCAGCTGGAGCCCCAGACGCAGGGGGCCCTACAGAGAAAGTCCTGATGAAGGACATGGTTTTCCAGTGAAGGTTCGGGATCCAATGGAGAAGTGTTCCCAAAATGATGTTCCCAAAGACGGCCAGTGACTTTCTGTTCAGGCACTTGAGAGAATTGCCATGTCTTAGGGCTGCCAAACAGTTGCCTGTGTGTGTGTCAAGGTTCAAATCCAATGAATACTGAGGCCTTGGGTAGAACATGTTCCCACGTTTGATTGTGCCTGGCCTGTCGTCACATTTTTTTTCCACTCTCGGAGCTGAACATGGAGCTGTGTCTGTTTGAAAGGGTCTCCATATCGTGAGAAGTTATACTGGGGATCTGAGTCTCCAGTGGGTTTTCCCTGACAAGCGAGCACCCGTCCCAGTCACCATATCCCTATCAGGAGTCCTTGTCCTGGGCGTCTGCTCTGGGGTCTTCCTCCAGCAGAGGAGTTGGCAAGGGTCCACGTTTAGGACCTGAGTTTTCTGAGACCCAGCACCCTGTCCATGGTGTCCTGCCTGTCCTGGGGGAGGGAGTGTGACCCAGCACCGGGGGCCACCTTCTCCCAGGATATTCTTTCTCCATCTTTATCCTCCTCCTGTTTCCTCCCCCATCTCTCCAAGTCCTCATCCAAGGCCTGCTACCACCGTATTTAACACAGCCCCATAGCCCGGACACCCAGAGGACAGCACCCCAGGAGAAGCTGGGTTACCACACTGACCCAGAAGCCCAGACAAGGAGGGGCAGAGGTTCCAGACACCCAGGCAGGCTTAGACCTTAGCCTCAGACAAGACAGGCAAGGGAAGAAGCTCCCCTCATTTCACTTGGGATCTCAAAGAGGAGAGAAGCTGGGAAACTTACCAAGGATGGTCAGCTGGGTGCCGGCTCCGAGCACAGCACACAGTGACACAGCCCCACACACAAAGCCCTCCTGACACACCAGACCCATTCCCCGCTGCAGCTGCTGGGGTGCCCAGGTCCAGCGGCCCTGTCATGAAGCAGGCCTGGCCGATAGAAGGGTAAGGCGGTTGGTCCCTATGAAGGATGCACACTTTCCTGGAAGTTAGGAATCCCTCCAGAATGGGGAGCGGGAGGAGGCATATCTGCACATCACATCTGGATGTCCTGGAGGAAGCCATTTGTCCCGGCTAGGCTCCTTTGGAGACTGTCACCACGGAAGAAGTGAGAAGTCTGTTTATGCCACAGGGAAGGTGGAGCTGGTCCCTATGGAGAACTGAGGCCCTGGGCGGGTCCTGGATGCCTAGCACAGGCCCTAGTGCGATGCCCAAGTGGCAACGATTCCAAATAGCGGGAGGATGTGTGTGTGTGTGTGTGTGTGTGTGTGTGTGTGTGTTTGCATGCAGGCATGTTGTGAATACCTGTGTGCGTATGAGGTGTGCATGTGTGTTTATTTTGGGGATATGTGTGTATGTGAGTTTGTCCTGTAATCCAGGCTGCCACCCCGTGGTACCTCCCAGGACAATAATCAACCATGTTCTTAGGCCCCACATACAGCTCTTAAAAAGACCAGTCGGTTTACAGGCACGTCTATGGCACTGGTCTGGAATCTCATGATTGACTTTGACCTCCCCAGGTCCCACTGACCATCCATGGACACCTGGACATTAGGTTCTTGAGGTGTGGTCAGTTTGGGGCTGGCTAGTTAGGGGTGAGAGAGAGCAGAGTTGACTCTTATCCCCCAGGGGACTTGAGTACAAACTGGGACACTGGTGACACATGTGGGACCAGAGGTACCGAGCTGGCCTGTGGGGTGAGTGACGCGGGTCCAGAGGGTCATGGTCCAGTGGGCACCTGCTTCAGAGATGGATGTGGGGGTAGATGGCAGGATCTTGGGAGTCAGAAACAGGGTGGGGCCCTAAGGAGTTGGGGAGACCAAGGGCCCATGGACTGGAGAGGCTCCTTTGGCCTGAGAAAGAAGGACCCCTCGAGAGAGGGAGGCTGTCCAGGGGTGAGGCCTGTCAATCCATGGAGGGAACTCATTCTCCTGGAGGCCATGGGGAACGAAGGAGAGGTGGCTCCAGGCCGTGAAGGTGGCCATGTCCACACAAACCCACCATGTATGGGAGAGAGGGTCAATCCTGGGCCTGCTGCCCAAGGCTCTGTTCTGAAATGTCCTCTGGACCTTTTTAGGTGCTGGTGGAACTACCCCTCAAAAGCAATCCAGACCCCATTCCCTGGCTCCATTCCCACAAGGCTGAAAGAATTCTGCCATCTTGCAGGTTGGTCCAGTTAAACAAAACACAAACCCGGGCTTTCTGGTTGACAGTGAGGACATTTATTGAGGGTTTACTGGGTGCAGGGAGAAGGGTTGGATGACTTGGGATGGGGGAGAGACCCCTTCCCTGGGATTCTGCAGCTGTAGGCCCCGTGGGTGGGGTGAGAGTTGGGGGCCTAAGAACATCCTGCAGGGCCCACTGTCTTCTCCACGGTTTTCCCCTCGTGCGTGACGTGGCAGCTGTAGCTGCTGCGAGACTTCCACTGCTGCGGCGTGAGGCTCAGGTAGCTGCTGGCCGCGTACTTGTTGTTGCTCTGTTTGGAGGGTTTGGTGGTCTCCACTCCATCCCTGACGGAGTTGCCGTCTGCCTTCCATTCCACTGTCACAGCTCCCGGGTAGAAGTCACTTATGAGGCACACCAATGTGGCCTTGTTGGATTGGAGCTCCTCAGAGGAGGGCGGGAACACGGTGACCGAGGGGGTGGCCTTGGGCTGACCTGGGAGAGGGGCAAAGGGCAGGAGGTCAGAGTCCTGGTGTCCACCTGGGAGCTCCCGGCCTCAGTCTTGAGGCGGGCGCAGGACTAAGGCCCAGGACAGGGACCTCAGCCAGGGCCCTTGCTGCATGAGGTCAGCTCGGCAGCGGTGGGGATGCTCACCTCCCGATGGGAAACGTTTCAGCATCCGAGGACTGAGGAGAATCAGGTCTCTTTCACTCCAGCCTCCTCTCTAGATTCCCCCTCCTTGTCAGCCATGCCTCACCTCACCTGTGCTCTCCACTGCTGGCTGGGCAGGGTTTAGCCCTGGGCCCTCGTCTTTCCTCAGGGAATGTCTCTGTCTCAACAGCCCTGCCAGGTCCCTCCTCTGGGTCTGTTCACGAGGGCATCTGTGTCCTGTTTTTAGGTTCTCCTCCCTTTTGAGGAGTGAGTTTCTTCCCCAAGCGTTCCCCTGGTACCATCACTGCAGTCCCCACCCCACTTTCCCACCGAGACCCCTTGTTGGGGAGAGGGTGTTGGTCCCGGGGCAGGGTTCCTGGGAGTCCCTCGGAGTCTAGGAGATGAAGGGCTTGGTGTGAGGTACGTTTTCTGTTCTGAGCCTGGGGCTGTGTGTGCTCCATGGGGTCTCCCTGTCATATTGGGAGATCTGGCTGTTCTAGGATATCTGTCTGCCCTCACAGTTCCCCGTCACCTGTGCCCAGCAGGAGTGCCTCCCCTAGCATCTGCTTTGGGGTCTCTCCTTTGTTGTGAGGGAGAGGCTCTAGCCTTGGCTTGAGTGTCCTGAGACCCACCCTGTCCATGGCAGCCTGCCTGTCCTGGGTATGAGGAGGGACCCAGCACCCTGGGGCCACCTTCTCACAGGACATTCTTCCTCCATGTTTGTCCCTTTTGATTTCCCCAAGTCCCCAGTCAAAGGCTTCCCTTCTAGGCGTTTAAAGCAGCCCCATAGTTAGGACCCAGAACCCTAAGAGCCGAGCTGTTTCCTGCATTGTTCCCTTTCCCACGGCCCTGGTACCCCAGCCTGACCCCCTGTTCCACTTGTTCCCGGGCCCTCAGACTCTGAGGGAGGGAGCGGAACATCCCAGAGCCCAGGGAGAATGCCCATGAGTGACAGAGGCAGGGTATGGCCTGAGCAGGGAGCAGGAAGAGTTCACTGGGTTCTTCTCTTCCTTCTCCATCAGGTGCCTAAGAAGGGACCGGCTGGAGGAGTTTGGGGCTTAGCAAAAAGGCAATGGTAGCAGACCCCAGAGAGATTGAGACGCATGCCCCAGACAGAACACAAAGGAGAGGAAAGTGTCCCCTGAGCTCACCCTAGACCAGAAGCAGAGAAAAAGGGGACTCACCGAGGACTGTCAGCGTGGTGCCCCCGCCGAACACATAACACCGTGATAGAACCCTGCACACAAACCCTCCTGATATGCCAGTCCCAGGCCCCCCTGCAGCTGCACAGAAGGCCCAGGGTCCAGCCCCCTCTTCTCATGGGTGGGTGAGCCACAGGTGGGTCGCCTTCCACTGACCCAAGCATCACTTCCCTGGGGGCTCAGGAGTTCATCCACCCTGGTCAAGAGAGGTATTGACAGGTCTGTGTGTGGAGTTGTCTTTCAGGTAATCGCATTTCTGAGGGACAGTTGGGTGGCCTGGATCAGCTGGTGTCAGGAATGCCCGGGAGGAGGAGGAGGAGGTGAGCATCGGGTGACACCACTGACATGGTGCAGCTGGGACCCCTCTGAGAAGCTGGGAATGGTGGGGAGGGTCCTGAATGCCCCCCACATCCTCAGCACTGGAGCTTACGGTGGGATCGGCTTGGAATGGCACCTGGGGGTTGTGGGGAGAATGAAGTTGACCATGGGGACACAGACCCTCCTGCAAGGCCTGAGCTCCAGCATCCTTGGCTCAGATGATCTGAAGGAGCAGCTCACAGATCACTGCCAGAGTCCCCTCTCCCAAGCCTGTGGGGCAGCTTCTTCCCTATGGGCTGTGGGTGCTGGATCAGAGCTACAGTGGAGCAGAGGAGAGGTCCTCAAGGGGGTCATAGGCCTCACTGGCAGAGTGGTTTCCTCCAGAAGCCCTATGTGTGGGTGTCTCTGCTGTCCCCTTCAGCTCCTTCTGGCTTACACATTCACCCACATGAACGTGTTCTGCAGTCTCTTGTGGGCACAAGTGACCCACACAGCCTGTCCTCAGGGGTGTCCCCAGCACGGGATGCACCCACAGTGGATGGGCATGTGCAGTTTGGGGCCTGGACACATTGGGCCTGGACCTGCATCCTGGTCTGGACCCATCACCTGAAGAGCTCACACCTGGGACACACACCTGGCACCCCACAGTCCCCAACAGTATCCCCCCACAGCAAGAGCCTCACCTGACCTCTGAGATGTGGCCTCTTGCTCCCTGATCAGAATCCTGTCCTCATAGTCTCCTGTCTCATTCTTGTCCTGGACAGAAAATCTTGCCCCATTTTCCCATGCCCAGGGGTGATCCCCTAGTCCCAAAACCTGGAGACTGCAGGTCTAAGCTTTGCTTTGCTCATGTCCCAACCTAGGCCTGACTGAAGCCCTTTTTACCTGGGCACTTCCTGATCCTCCCAGAAGGATGCCCAACATGGGCATGTGTGTGTGTGCACTGTGTGTGTGCACGTGTATGTGTGCATGTGTGTGTGTGTTACAGCTCAGATCCCACACTGTGCTCTTCAGAAGACAAGTCAGCTTCATCCAAGCCCCTGGCATAAGCTCAGCATCTGACTCTTGACTTTGAACTCAACTCACCAGCCAATTGATAACTTGTGCACTCAGGACATTAGACACTCATAGTGGCATCAGTGAGGAGCTGACACTTGTCCCCTAGGAACCTTAAATACAGCTGGGACATCCAGTGACACATGTGGGATGAGAGGCACCCAGAGGGGACGGTGGGGTGAGTGACCATGGTCCAGAGGGTAAGGGTCCTATCAGTGACTGTTACAGGAAGGCCCTGTCGGGGCAGAGGGCTGGGTACTTGGGATGACGGGAACAGAGTGTGCCCAGGAGGAAGGGGACATGGTCTAGGCTTTGATGAGAGGAAATATGGTGGGGTGACCATATGGTCTTGGAGGGGGATGAAAAAAACACCCTGAGGGAGGAACAGCATCTGGACAGTGAGGGCTGAGGGCAACAGGGAAGGGAGCTGAGATGTTCTCCTGGGACCATGGGGATGTGAGGAGGGTGTGATCCCGGGCAGCCAGAGGTGGACATGTCCATAGGGCATCAGGAAGCACAGCAGAGACTTGGGTAAGAAGGAAGATGCCAGGGTCTGACTATTTCCATGTTCTGGAACATTCTATGGGGATAGGGTGATGAACAAAGTGTGCCTCAGAGAAACATCAGGATGTTCTGTGGCTGCTTTGTCACAAGTTCAGAGGATTCTGTTCACCTTGGGAGATGGTAAAATTTAGGATGGACAATGTGTAAACAAAAATGAGCAGACAGCATGTTTTCTGATTGACAAGGAGGATATTTATTGCGAGTTTATTGGGTGTAGGCAGAAGGGCTGGATGACTTGGGGTGGGAGGGAATCTGTCCTGGGATCAGGGTTGGGGTCCTAAGGACATCCTGCAGTGGCCACTGCCTTCTCCATGATGCTCCCCTCCTGCCTGACGTGGCAGCTGTAGCTGCTGCTGGACCTCCACTGCTTGGGGTTCAGGCTCAGGTAGCTGCTGTCCGCCCAGTTGTTCCTGCTGTGTTTGGAGGGTTTGGTGGTCTCCACGTCCTTGGTGACGGGGTTGCCATCTGCCTTCCAGTCCACTGTCATGGTTCCTGGGTAGAAGTCACTTATGAGGCACACTAATGTGGCCTTGTTGGCTTGGAGCTCCTCAGAGGAGGGTGAGAACAGAGTGACCCGGGGCGGGGGGGCCTTGGGCTGACCTGTGAGGTGAGCGAGGGGTAGGAGGTCAGAGTCTTGGTGTCTACCTAGGGAGCCCCTGACCTCAGTCTTGAAGTGAGTATGGGACTAAGGCCCAGGGCAGGGACCTCAGGCCGGACCCTTGCTGGACTGAGGTCAGGTCAATGGTGAGCGGAGACACTCACTGTCAGATAGAAGGCTCTCCAGTGCCCCACTCTCGGGGAGTCACAAACCCCCTCTTGCATCTGCCTCTTTTTCATATGTCCCATCACCTACAGACCCCCACCTGTGCTCCCTCCACACTGGATGGGATGGAGTCCCCTTCATCCATTGGGGACCACCTCTCACCCCAGGTATCTGTCTGTGTTGGGGGTGTCTGTCTGAATGCCTCCTACCAACTCCCCTTGTTCTCATCTCTTCATGCAGGGCAGCTGCTGGTCCTGGGTTCAGGGAGTGGGTTTCTTGCCACACATTCCCCTGGCACCATCATTGCAGCCCCCAGCCACTTCCCTGCAGAGACCCCTCTGGGCTGCCTGGTAAGAGTGGGTGTTGGTCTCAGGAGCTGGATTCCAGTTGATCAAAGGCTGCCATTTGAGGCATTTTTTTTTTCCACTCTCAGAGCTGAACATAGAGCTTGTCTGTTCGAAAGGGTCTCCATGTCATGAGAAGTTATACTGGGGATCTGAGTCTCCAGTGGGTATTTCCCGACAAGTGGGGACCCGTCCCAGTCACCATATCCCTATCAAGAGTCCTTGTCCTTGGCATCTGCTCTGGGGTCTTCCTCCAGCAGAGGAGTTGGCAAGGGTCCACGTTTAGGACCTGAGTTTTCTGAGACCCAGCACCCTGTCCATGGTGTCCTGCCTGTCCTGGGGGAGGGAGTGTGACCCAGCACCGGGGGCCACCTTCTCCCAGGATATTCTTTCTCCATCTTTATCCTCCTCCTGTTTCCTCCCCCATCTCTCCAAGTCCTCATCCAAGGCCTGCTACCACCGTATTTAACACAGCCCCATAGCCCGGACACCCAGAGGACAGCACCCCAGGAGAAGCTGGGTTACCACACTGACCCAGAAGCCCAGACAAGGAGGGGCAGAGGTTCCAGACACCCAGGCAGGCTTAGACCTTAGCCTCAGACAAGACAGGCAAGGGAAGAAGCTCCCCTCATTTCACTTGGGATCTCAAAGAGGAGAGAAGCTAGGAAACTTACCAAGGATGGTCAGCTGGGTGCCGGCTCCGAGCACAGCACACAGTGACACAGCCCCACACACAAAGCCCTCCTGACACACCAGACCCATTCCCCGCTGCAGCTGCTGGGGTGCCCAGGTCCAGCGGCCCTGTCATGAAGCAGGCCTGGCCGATAGAAGGGTAAGGCGGTTGGTCCCTATGAAGGATGCACACTTTCCTGGAAGTTAGGAATCCCTCCAGAATGGGGAGCGGGAGGAGGCATATCTGCACATCACATCTGGATGTCCTGGAGGAAGCCATTTGTCCCGGCTAGGCTCCTTTGGAGACTGTCACCATGGAAGAAGTGAGAAGTCTGTTTATGTCACAGGGAAGGTGGAGCTGGTCCCTATGGAGAACTGAGGCCCTGGGCGGGTCCTGGATGCCTAGCACAGGCCCTAGTGCGATGCCCAAGTGGCAACGATTCCAAATAGCGGGAGGATGTGTGTGTGTGTGTGTGTGTGTGTGTGTGTGTGTGTTTGCATGCAGGCATGTTGTGAATACCTGTGTGCGTATGAGGTGTGCATGTGTGTTTATTTTGGGGATATGTGTGTATGTGAGTTTGTCCTGTAATCCAGGCTGCCACCCCGTGGTACCTCCCAGGACAATAATCAACCATGTTCTTAGGCCCCACATACAGCTCTTAAAAAGACCAGTCGGTTTACAGGCACGTCTATGGCACTGGTCTGGAATCTCATGATTGACTTTGACCTCCCCAGGTCCCACTGACCATCCATGGACACCTGGACATTAGGTTCTTGAGGTGTGGTCAGTTTGGGGCTGGCTAGTTAGGGGTGAGAGAGAGCAGAGTTGACTCTTATCCCCCAGGGGACTTGAGTACAAACTGGGACACTGGTGACACATGTGGGACCAGAGGTACCGAGCTGGCCTGTGGGGTGAGTGACGCGGGTCCAGAGGGTCATGGTCCAGTGGGCACCTGCTTCAGAGATGGATGTGGGGGTAGATGGCAGGATCTTGGGAGTCAGAAACAGGGTGGGGCCCTAAGGAGTTGGGGAGACCAAGGGCCCATGGACTGGAGAGGCTCCTTTGGCCTGAGAAAGAAGGACCCCTCGAGAGAGGGAGGCTGTCCAGGGGTGAGGCCTGTCAATCCATGGAGGGAACTCATTCTCCTGGAGGCCATGGGGAACGAAGGAGAGGTGGCTCCAGGCCGTGAAGGTGGCCATGTCCACACAAACCCACCATGTATGGGAGAGAGGGTCAATCCTGGGCCTGCTGCCCAAGGCTCTGTTCTGAAATGTCCTCTGGACCTTTTTAGGTGCTGGTGGAACTACCCCTCAAAAGCAATCCAGACCCCATTCCCTGGCTCCATTCCCACAAGGCTGAAAGAATTCTGCCATCTTGCAGGTTGGTCCAGTTAAACAAAACACAAACCCGGGCTTTCTGGTTGACAGTGAGGACATTTATTGAGGGTTTACTGGGTGCAGGGAGAAGGGTTGGATGACTTGGGATGGGGGAGAGACCCCTTCCCTGGGATTCTGCAGCTGTAGGCCCCGTGGGTGGGGTGAGAGTTGGGGGCCTAAGAACATCCTGCAGGGCCCACTGTCTTCTCCACGGTTTTCCCCTCGTGCGTGACGTGGCAGCTGTAGCTGCTGCGAGACTTCCACTGCTGCGGCGTGAGGCTCAGGTAGCTGCTGGCCGCGTACTTGTTGTTGCTCTGTTTGGAGGGTTTGGTGGTCTCCACTCCATCCCTGACGGAGTTGCCGTCTGCCTTCCATTCCACTGTCACGGCTCCCGGGTAGAAGTCACTTATGAGGCACACCAATGTGGCCTTGTTGGATTGGAGCTCCTCAGAGGAGGGCGGGAACACGGTGACCGAGGGGGTGGCCTTGGGCTGACCTGGGAGAGGGGCAAAGGGCAGGAGGTCAGAGTCCTGGTGTCCACCTGGGAGCTCCCGGCCTCAGTCTTGAGGCGGGCGCAGGACTAAGGCCCAGGACAGGGACCTCAGCCAGGGCCCTTGCTGCATGAGGTCAGCTCGGCAGCGGTGGGGAGCCCCAGACAGACCCATGCCCCAGACAGAACACAAAGGAGAGGAAAGTGTCCCCTGAGCTCACCCTAGACCCAGCGTTTCCCTCCCGATGGGAAACGTTTCAGCATCTGAGGACTGAGGAGAATCAGGTCTCTTTCACTCCAGCCTCCTCTCTAGATTCCCCCTCCTTGTCAGCCATGCCTCACCTCACCTGTGCTCTCCACTGCTGGCTGGGCAGGGTTTAGCCCTGGGCCCTCGTCTTTCCTCAGGGAATGTCTCTGTCTCAACAGCCCTGCCAGGTCCCTCCTCTGGGTCTGTTCACGAGGGCATCTGTGTCCTGTTTTTAGGTTCTCCTCCCTTTTGAGGAGTGAGTTTCTTCCCCAAGCGTTCCCCTGGTACCATCACTGCAGTCCCCACCCCACTTTCCCACCGAGACCCCTTGTTGGGGAGAGGGTGTTGGTCCCGGGGCAGGGTTCCTGGGAGTCCCTCGGAGTCTAGGAGATGAAGGGCTTGGTGTGAGGTACGTTTTCTGTTCTGAGCCTGGGGCTGTGTGTGCTCCATGGGGTCTCCCTGTCATATTGGGAGATCTGGCTGTTCTAGGATATCTGTCTGCCCTCACAGTTCCCCGTCACCTGTGCCCAGCAGGAGTGCCTCCCCTAGCATCTGCTTTGGGGTCTCTCCTTTGTTGTGAGGGAGAGGCTCTAGCCTTGGCCTGAGTGTCCTGAGACCCACCCTGTCCATGGCAGCCTGCCTGTCCTGGGTATGAGGAGGGACCCAGCACCCTGGGGCCACCTTCTCACAGGACATTCTTCCTCCATGTTTGTCCCTTTTGATTTCCCCAAGTCCCCAGTCAAAGGCTTCCCTTCTAGGCGTTTAAAGCAGCCCCATAGTTAGGACCCAGAACCCTAAGAGCCGAGCTGTTTCCTTCATTGTTCCCTTTCCCACGGCCCTGGTACACCAGCCTGACCCCCTGTTCCACTTGTTCCCGGGCCCTCAGACTCTGAGGGAGGGAGCGGAACATCCCAGAGCCCAGGGAGAATGCCCATGAGTGACAGAGGCAGGGTATGGCCTGAGCAGGGAGCAGGAAGAGTTCACTGGGTTCTTCTCTTCCTTCTCCATCAGGTGCCTAAGAAGGGACCGGCTGGAGGAGTTTGGGGCTAGCAAAAAGGCAATGGTAGCAGACCCCAGAGAGATTGAGACCCATGCCCCAGACAGAACACAAAGGAGAGGAAAGTGTCCCCTGAGCTCACCCTAGACCCAGAAGTAGTGAAAAAGGGGACTCACCAAGGACAGTCAGCGTGGTGCCTCCGCCGAACACAGCACACCGTGATAGAACCCTGCACACAAACCCTCCTGATATGCCAGTCCCAGGCCCCCCTGCAGCTGCACAGAAGGCCCAGGGTCCAGCCCCCTCTTCTCATGGGTGGGTGAGCCACAGGTGGGTCGCCTTCCACTGACCCACAAGCATCACTTCCCTGGGGGCTTAGGAGTTCATCCACCCTAGTCAAGGGAGGTATTGACAGGTCTGTGTGTGGAGTTGTCTTCCAGGTAATCGCATTTCTGAGGGACAGTTGGGTGGCCTGGATCAGCTGGTGTCAGGAATGCCCGGGAGGAGGAGGAGGAGGTGAGCGTTGGGTGACACCACTGATGTGGTGCAGCTAGGACCCCTCTGAGAAGCTGGGAATGGTGGGGAAGGTTCTGGATGCCCACCACATCCTCAGCACTGGAGCTTATGGTGGGATCGGCTTGGAATGGCACCTGGGGGTTGTGGGGAGAATGACGTTGACCACGGGGACACAGACCCTTCTTCAAGACCTGAGCTCCAGCATCCTTGGCTCAGATGAACTGAAGGAGCAGCTCACAGGTCGATGCCCGAGTCCCCCTCCCAAATTCATGGGGTAGCTTCCTTTCTATTGGCTATGGGTGCTGGATCAGAGCTGCAATGGAGCAGAGGAGAGGTCCTCAAGGGGGTCATAGGCCTCACTGGCAGAGTGGTTTCCTCCAGGAGCTCTACGTTTGGGTGTCTCTGCTGTCCCCTTCAGCTCCTTCTGGCTTACACCCACATGAACGTGTTCTGCAGTCCCCTGTGGGCAGAAGTGACCCACACAGCCTGTCCTTAGGAGTGCCACCAGCACAGGATCCACCCACAGTGGATGGGCACGTGCAGTGTGGGGCCTGCATACCTTGGGCCTGGACCTGCATCCTGGTCTGGACCCATCACCTGAAGAGCTCACACCTGGGACACACACCTGGCACCCCAAAGTCCCCAACAGTGTCCCCCTACAGCAAGAGCCTCACCTGTCCTCTGAGTTGTGGGCTCTTGCTCCCTGATCAGAATCCTGTCCTCATAGTGTCTTGTCTCATTCTTGACCTGGACAGAAAATCTTGCCCCATTTTCCCATGCCCAGGGGCGATCCCCTAGTCCCAAAACCTGGAGACTGCAGGTCCAAGCTTTGCTTTGCTCATGTCCCAACCTAGGCCTGACTGAAGCCCTTTTTACCTGGGCACTTCCTGATCCTCCCAGAAGGATGCCCAACATGGGCATGTGTGTGTGTGCACTGTGTGTGTGCACGTGTATGTGTGCATGTGTGTGTGTGTTACAGCTCAGATCCCACACTGTGCTCTTCAGAAGACAAGTCAGCTTCATCCAAGCCCCTGGCATAAGCTCAGCATCTGACTCTTGACTTTGAACTCAACTCACCAGCCAATTGATAACTTGTGCACTCAGGACATTAGACACTCATAGTGGCATCAGTGAGGAGCTGACACTTGTCCCCTAGGAACCTTAAATACAGCTGGGACATCCAGTGACACATGTGGGATGAGAGGCACCCAGAGGGGAAGGTGGGGTGAGTGACCATGGTCCAGAGGGTAAGGGTCCTATCAGTGACTGTTACAGGAAGGCCCTGTCGGGGCAGAGGGCTGGGTACTTGGGATGACGGGAACAGAGTGTGCCCAGGAGGAAGGGGACATGGTCTAGGCTTTGATGAGAGGAAATATGGTGGGGTGACCCTATGGCCTTAGAGGGGGATGAAAAAACACCCTGAGGGAGGAACAGCATCTGGACAGTGAGGGCTGAGGGCAACAGGGAAGGGAGCTGAGATGTTCTCCTGGGGCCCTAGGGATGTGAAGAGGGTGTGATCCCGTGCAGCCAGAGGTGGACATGTCCATAGGGCATCAGGAAGCACAGCAGAGACTTGGGTAAGAAGGAAGATGCCAGGGTCTGACTATTTCCATGTTCTGGAACATTCTATGGGGATAGGGTGATGAACAAAGCATGCCTCAGAGAAACATCAGGATGCTCTGTGGCTGCTTTGTCACAAGTTCAGAGAATTGTGTTCACCTTGGGAGATGGTCAAATTTAGGGTGCAAAAAGTATAAACAAAAACGAGCAGACAGCATGTTTTCTGACGACAAGGAGACCATTTATTGAGAGTTTACTGGGTATAGGCTGAAGGGCTGGATGACTTGGGGTGGGAGGGAGTCTGTCATGGGATTCTGCAGCTGCAGGCCCCATGGATGGGGTGAGTGTTGGGGACCTAGGAACATCCTGCAGGGGCCACTGTCTTCTCCACGGTTTTCCCCTCGTGCGTGACGTGGCAGCTGTAGCTGCTGCGAGACTTCCACTGCTGCGGCGTGAGGCTCAGGTAGCTGCTGGCCGCGTACTTGTTGTTGCTCTGTTTGGAGGGTTTGGTGGTCTCCACTCCATCACTTATGGGGTTACCGTCTGCCTTCCAGGCCACTGTCACGGCTCCCGGGTAGAAGTCACTTATGAGGCACACCAATGTGGCCTTGTTGGCTTGGAGCTCCTCAGAGGAGGGTGGGAACAAAGTGACCGAGGGGGCAGCCTTGGGCTGGCCTGTGGGGTAAGCGAGGGGCAGGAGGTCAGAGTCCTGGTGTCCAGCTGGGGAGACCCTGATCTCAGTGCCTGAGGAGGGTCTGGCTCTTCATTGCCAGTGCAGGACCTCTCAACTGTGGTTCAAACTGTCTCAGAACATATCACTCAGAAGGGTGTAACAAGATATTCGTAAAACAAGTCTGTCAGTCAGAAAACCTCTCAGCTTGGCCCCTGCCCATCACCTGTTTGGAAACCTTCCTACGCCTTCTTGGGCTTTTGTATAGGCAGCGGACCTTCAACTGCCTGCCCCTGCCTCACCCTGTCATTCTGACGCGGCCTGTCTCTGGGCTCTGGTTGTGTTCTCTGAGCTCTGTGAACCTCCTGTCGGATTCACTCTAGAAACTTCTCACCTGACACAGCTGCTCTGGGTTGGGGGAGAGTGAGTCTCACCTAAGGACTCTGTTTCTACCCACATCTGTCTCTCCTGAGCCTCTGCCGTGGCGTCAAGGCCTTGCTCACCCAAGTCCCACTGGCTGTATGTGCTGGTTTCTCTGTCTATGGAGTCTGTGCTACAGTCTGTCTGTGTTTAGGGCCAATCTACAGTTTCCTCCTTTGGGATGCAGAGAGTGCCCTCTCCCTCCAGGGAGAAGCTGTATTCCTAGAATGCAGTATCCTGGAAACCTTCCCATGAACCTAGCCCTGACTCTAGGAACCTCAGCCCCACCTTCCCTGCGCTTGTCCTAGTTGGGATGGACCTGGCCAGTGAGGCCTGGCTTGGTGAAACCAGGGGTTCCTGTGTCTAGCGGTGCTTCCCACAGAGAGCCAACAGCCACCTCCCCACACACCATGGACTTCTGTGACTCTCACTTGGCTCCTTCAAGTCCAGAGCCTTCCCTTCCCTCCTTACTGGGATTCATGGGTCCCAGGCCAGCTCAGGGCTCTCTCCTTGGGAGCCCACAAAAACCTGGAGAGGCCCCTACACCTCCTACTTTGTTCCCAGCCTGAAACCAGAGTCCCATAGCCCAGGGGACTGGGCCCCGAGACTCTGATTTTTCATTCCCTGATCTTGGCTTTAAGGGTTTGGGGTTCTTCTAAAGTCTCCCTGGTGGTCACTCCTTCAAGCCCCTTGTTCCCTCTCCCCCGTGAGATGGGCCACAGCTTCCCCTGCACAAAGCTTGCTAGGCAGATGGAAGCCCAGGCAGGAGAGGACAGAACTGAGCACGTTTTAGGGAAGCAGCCTGGCCCTGGCCGACACACAGACAGACAGACAGACAGACAGACAGACAGACAGACAGACAGACAGACAGAGAGACAGATGAGTCTCAGTAGGTCATCCAGTCTAGCGCCCTACCTCTGTGGTCAGAGGTGAAGGGTCTTGGTGACTCACTGAGGCAGGCAAGGGTCTGAACAGGGAGGGGAGAGGTCCTTGCCCAGGGCTTGGGCTCCGGAAAAAGCTTCACCACAGGCCAACACAAGATTCAGAAAAGAACAAAAACAGCAGAAAATTGCCCAGTACCTTGGGGAGAGCAGGGAAGGAGAGGGGAGAAGAGACTCACCTAGGACAGTCAGCTTGGTCCCTATGCCGAACACCCAACACTGTGACACAGGCTTATACAAAAACCCTCCCAGGGATGCCCCCACCCCCAACCCCCACTGCAGCTGTGATAGAGGAAGCAGGGGGCCACTGCCTCTGGTGGCATCTGCTCATGAGGGAGTTCACACAGCCCCACCCTCACCCCCATAGAGAGAAGGGGACAGGTGATTTCTTGTGACCAGCAGCAGGATCCCTAGAAATCCTGGTTCCTGAAGGACATTGGCATTTTGGATTTGGTTTTCCCACCAACCGTCATGCAATCACAGGAATGATTTTATTGGAGGGCATTGTGTCACTAGGAGTGAATTTCCATAGTCAGGGATAAATGGTCTCCCTAGTGGAGCTGACTCAATACTGACTGCTTGGTGAACCCCTGGGGTGAAGCAGAGAGTGCCGTCTCCCTCCAGGGAGAAGTTGGTTACCCTAGAGTGCAGTGTCCTGGGAACCTTCCCATGAACCTAGCTCTGACTCCAGGAGTCCCAGCCCCGCCTTCCCTGGGCTTGTTATAGTTGGGGTGGGCTGGGCCAGTGAGACCTGGCTGGTCCCCATTGGAAATGCCAGCCCCATCCTCCAGGGTAAAATGGAAGGATCTCCTGCACTCCTCAACCTGGCCTCATGTTGGTGGGCCAGGTGGGGTAGTGGCTGCCATTGCCTTATTCAAATGTGGGGGACATAAGGGAGCTCCTGAGTGTGGTCTCCAGATATCACCTTCTGCTCAGGGAAGTGAGGTCAGTGGGAGATCCCAGACCTGGGGCAGGAAAGGGACATGATGAGACAGAACCTCTCATCCTTCTAGAAATGGCTCCTGGGACAATGGGAGAAAACCAGATGCCACCTGAAGAGGCACCTAGGGGTACATGTCCATGTTTTGTCACCACATTGTCATTGGC